TCAACGGAAAAAAAGAGCCGCCTTTTGATTGTAAGTAACTCCGGTCAAAAGTTCTGATCAGAGCTAATCTTACCGACTACGCGGTAACACGAAAAAGATAAAACAGTGAATTCAATTTCTTTATTCTTTTCATCTTTTCTAATTTAAACTGAAAAGTCCAGTCACAAATGTGAAAAAAATCTGCCAAAAAAAGTCCACGTCTCTTATGTCTTCAGTCCCAGTCCAGTCCAGTCCAAGTCTCTTACGCTTTCAGTCCCAGTCCGGACTTGGACTTGCCCATCTCTGCACTTTCCAATCATTTTAATTGTTATCCCAAACCCGTTTTGGCATCCGACGTGTTCTAGTCCAAACCCGAATCGGCCGCGGGCGTGGTCATGCAATTCAAAATAAATTTTTACACATTTTTGAATTTTTAGTTTACATCCGTTTTGGAGGTGGACGTATAGCATTCATTCCTCACGTATATATATATTTCATTCATTTAAACAAAGGGGTAAAATTCCAACCGATCGGATCGGATCGATCCACCGTTATCGTGCAAACTATAGGATTCGTTATTATCTGAACTAATGGTTGTGATTGTACTGGTGATGATGATGGTTGAACATTAGTTCTTTTTTGTTTGTTATTTTTCTTTACAAATTCTTTCATTAATGAACAATTCAATTTTTTTATATGTTTATAAAAATTTGACAATTGAAATTTATTATCCTTTTTCGTTAGTGAGAAATTTGGGCCACATTTACATGTATTTATTGCTTCTAAAATATTATGATTATCATGTAATTTTAATGTAAATTTTTCCCCGCCTCTTGATTGAAAAGCATCTAAACCAGAGTTTTCTTTATTATCTAAACACCATTGTTTAATTAATTTTTTAATATAAAATCTTTATGTTCATGTATTGTCATTGTTGGTGAAATGGAGGAACTGAATTAGTTGGAACTGGTGCTGGGTTAAAAAAGATGATGATGATGATGATGGGGTGTAATTACTAGCAACTGTTGTTATGGTTGTTTGTTGTTTTGATTTTGATTTTGTCTGTTTCATTATTTCTTCATTCTTTTTCAACAATAGTTTTTTTAAATATTTAATATTTGCTCTAATACCAGCTTTAAAAGATATGAACCATTCGTTTAATGCGTGGATTCTTTGCGTCTTTTCCAAATATGAAATTACACCAGCGACCAGAAGCATTTGAAATACATTTACCATCAAAATGGCCGTGGTTTTATCTTCGACGACAATAATTATTATTATTTCTACAAGATCCTACACATTTAGCTACAAAGTGGAGAAATCGTTTATTATGTTCAACAGCACAACTAATGATGGGTCCACAGTTAATTTCCATAGAGCATTTACAAGATATTATTGATAGTAATGCATATTCTAAACTTGATCATGGTCTTGTTCGGACAGATATTAATCTTAAAGACAGACAAAATTATCGTTCTTGTGAAAAACTGACATCAAATGATTTGTTAAATATTGTACGTAATAATCCCAGTACATCAGGAACATTTGTTATCTTTAATCATAACCCTGTTTATTAAGAAAAGATACAACAAACTTGAGTTAACGAGCAGACCAAGGTCTGTGGTGCAGAGTCAACTAAACAATCTAACGAAGAACTAAGACAAATACATATATAGATTGTACTTGTAAATATAACAATAAAAGAGAAAGTACAGTAATAAACAAATGTCTTTGAGTCTGTGATCATATTAGAAGTAAAAAGGGAGGGGGGGGAGGGGGAGAATATGTTGTGCTCTAGACTGCAGCAGTGATCAGTAAGAAAGAAATGTTTTATCAGTCATTCACAGCAGAAACGAGCTGACTGAATGATATAGTCGTTAACAGCTTTGACAATAATCTTGATTTCTTGATGTGTTAGAGAAATTTCCAGAAAAAAAGTTTTTAAATCAAAAGAAAGATGAGTTAAATCCGATT